AAGTTTTTTGTATTGTTAATGTGTAATCCTTACAAATTGCATCAGTTAGATAGAATGTCAAGGGTTATTCTTTTTAAATTTACATAGTAAATACATAATTTATATTAAATAATATTTATTCTAAGTGTAAATATTTATATTCAAATACTTATTATAAAAGTATTACACAACTTGATAATTACGATAAAAATAGTTTATTGATTAAATATATAAAAATATAAGAAAGAAATAATAAAAAAATAAAAAAATTATTAAACAAAAGATAAAATATGATAATAAAATTAAGTATTACTTGATAACCTAAGTGTACACAAATTATTAAGAAATGTTTACTAAGTATATTCAAAAATCTGAATCTAGGTCTTGATCTAAAAGTTCAAATAACTGAATTCTATATATATATTTTTTCAAATATATAGAATAATATATTAACTATCTCAGCTTTTTCAACTATTTTAACTATTTCAACAATTTTAATTATTTTAACTAAATTAATTAAATTAACTATATTAACTATGTTAATTATATAAAATATGTTAAATATGTCTAATATATCAATTATATTGATCATAGTAATTATGTCATTATTAAGGTTATATTATGTAGATCAGTCATAATTTAATAATTCAGTTACAGTATAAATATTATTTAAATATATAATTTAATATATAAAATGTTAGTAAAATAGAAACGTCTATAAAATAATTTTTTGTAAAAAAAATATTTATAAATTGAAAATTTAGTTAAAAAGAGTTAACTAAAAGTAATATGTTAAATAGGAGGTAGTAAGAAAGACTATCAATTAATCATATTGTAATCTAAATAAATACTTTTTTATAATAGTATTCTATATTATATAAATATTTTTAAATTAAAACTAAATATATAATTTTTTAATATTAAAAGTATATTTTACTATTATACAAAGTCAAAATAAAATTAATATTTATAATAATTTATAAAATAATATAAATATATAATTAATATAATTGATATAAAATTATAAGATTAATTTTTTTATTATTATTTAATATTAATTTTATATTTAATATAAATAATAATAATAATAATAATAAAATTATTATTATTATTATTTATAAATTATTAATATAATTTTTTGTAATATAATATTATTTATTAAAAATTTTTATTAATTATCATATATCACTATATACAGTAACTAAGGTTTTAATCAAAATGTGATTTTTCAAATTAAATAGTATAGTCAACTCTTGTTATAACAAATTCTATATTCTAGACCTCAACTTCACTATAAGGCTATAGTAAAGATTTTAAGAAATTTGATTAGCTAATTCGCTATAATAAGAGTATTTTTATTATATTTGTCTAAAAAATTCATTATATCAAGAGTTTGTTATATTAAAATTAACTGTATTTATAAAGTATCAGATATTATTTTAAGAGAAATATAGTATATAAAAGATAATATATATGAAGATTACAATTATATAACTTTAATAAATAAATATTAAAAAATATTAAATTTACTTTCTTCTTCTTATTGTATATATAGCTTTTTTCAATTCAGTTTCACAAATATTAAGAAAAATTTAATACTTTTTCTTTCTTTATATAAAAATTATGAAAAACGTTTAAGTAATAGAAAATGTTATTATTAAAGATACTATACAAAATAATATTATATCTAAGTATTAATTAATTTTCACAAAGTTTAATTTTGAAAAATCTTTGAATATTATTTGTAACTAGGTTAATATATATATTGAATAGTATTCAAGTATTAATCATAAGAGGTATTATTTTTGAAAGATACTGTATACAATGACATACAGTATAAAAAAAGTTTTAAATTCTAAATAATATTTTATATAATAAAAATTATGTAAAATATTTAAAAAAATATTAATAAAAAAATAATAATTTTATATTAATTAATAATAAATTTTTATAATAAATTACATATATAAGATTACTTGTTTAAATTCATTTTAAATTTGACAAAATGTCTAAACTTTAGTTTTGCTAATTTTTTACTATGATTTTAATATAGTTTTACATTTTTATAAGCTTTGATATAGTTTTACTTTTTCTTAAAGTTTGCAGATTTTTTAATAAGGTTTTAATATAGTTTCACTAAATTTTATCTTTTATCATTTAGATGATTTGTAAAACTTTAGGTTTTATCAAGCAACCTTATACATATAAATGGATTTTATAAAATAATTTTATTATTTACAAATTATTTATTAAAAATAGAGAACTGTTAAGAAAAAAAAAATTTATTTAATATTAAATCATTAAAAAATGTATTTAAGAGAAAATTTAAACTGTATATTGTTATCATAGAATTCTTCAACTTGGAGTGATCACGTTATCAAGTCTTTACTTAAAATTTCTAATTGCGATCTACTGTAGTCAAGATGTTAAAATCTACTTAACTCTTAACTTTACTAAATTTACACGTTAAACTTAAATAAATCTATTAAGTATAAAAGCTTGAAAGACGAGATTATAAACAATTTAATTAAAAAATTCAGATGATGAACTCAATTATAAATATTGTGTAAGAATCACGTTAGATTATATAAAGACATAAAGAGGCAAAAAATATAAATTTTTAAATGATTCTTTATTAATATTAAAACTCGTATTCGTAAAAGAGTTTACAAATCTGCAAAAAAGTTTATTTACAACATAAGTAAAAAGTCTATCTATTTATACAAAATTTCTTTTATCATGGCTAACTAATTACTATGCTATAAGCTAACTAATTCAGTAAAATAAAATATAAGTAAAATAAATATATTGAGAATTTGTAAAATAATAAAAATATAAAGTATAATAAAAATAACAATAAAATTTAGAATATTAAAAATAAGTATAACACTAAATAATCTTAGATTTTATTTAATTTGTAAAATTAGGATTATAATCAGTATTTGGAAGATCTTCAGAATTATGTAGATCCTCTGTATTTTTAGAATTTACAGAATTCTTAATATTTTCAGAATTTTAGATTAGAAGATTATCATATTGCGTTATTCATGTGACTTCATTATGATTGGTCAATTGCTCTGTTGACAATATTTATATATTTAATGCATTATAGAATATATAATTTATATAAATAAATTGTAATATTATATCACTTCCTTTAAATTTCATTTTTTATTATACAATTTAAAAACTTAGTTTTTTTTTAGATATAAATCATATTTTTCAATTGTTATTTATTATAGTTATTACTTTAATTTGTGATATAGAATTAAAGTTAAAATTAGTATAAGTAATATTTGATTTATTTGAAACTATATGTCATATTAAGCATAGGTATAATGAGTATATAATATACTGTTTAAAACTTCTATTATGATATCTTTATAATAATTTTTTTTTAAAAGTTAAAAATTAAAAAATAATATAATATATTTTTTTAAAATTTATTTAATTTTTTAACATGATTTTTTATTATAATAATAATATTATTAAACTATTAAAATAAAAAAGCATATTATTAATTAATATTTATAATTTAAAAAATATTTTTTATTATTTATCTTTTAATAATAAAAAGAATAAGATATATTTAAAAAAAATTAACTTTTTGAATGATTAGTTAATTTTTTAATATTAAATAAACAATTTATTAAAAATACATTTTATAATAATTTATTTTTGTAATTAAATTGAAAAAAAATAAAATTAAAAGATTATATTTTGTAATTGTCTAACAAATTACCTTTTTACAAAGCAATTATTGAAACCGTTTTTAATCTTATCATTTTAAAAAAAAAAACCAATCTTTTTTTTTTTTCTTTAAATATTATTATTTAAAATGAGTCATGTTATAAAGTAAAATATAATTATTTAAACATAAAATCAAATATCTTTATTTGTATGTAAATTTAACCCTTCCTAACTTTTTATCATTAACGCAATGCCAAACGTATTGTGTATGATTGTCATATTGTATCATGATAACGATCGTCAAAAAAACGAGTTTGATAGACGATTAAATGGGGACCTTTTGCAATAGAGAAGAGGGAAAAAATAAAAATTAGATAATGCTAAATCTGAACATAATTTGACCTAAAAACCATTGATTTTCCCAGCAGTCTATTGCAAAGGTCCTATATAATCTTGTGTTTACCAAATAAAAAAACTCGTAAATCAGTTTGAGTTGGACAAATCGGGTATTCATCACTACAAAATAATTATCTTGATTTCATTTAAACTCTACAAGATTAAACTTTATGATATAATCGATTTAATGGAGGTTTGTTAAAGAAATCAACCTCCAATTTTATATATAGACCATGTATAAATAAGGTTAAACTCTGAAACCTGGTATATTTTCCTTTCTTGATTGATTGGATTACCAACAAAAAATATCCGAAAATAATTACTTTAATATGAAAGTGATCCTGTATTCTCAAAATAGAAAAATCCTATTAAGTGAATGTAGGACTATCTGAGGCGTTCAACAATTCGGCCCCTCAGTTGTTTAAAAGTATATACTTGAAATCTTTGACTTATTTAACTTATTTACAATTTCTTATTGTGATCTGCTTTTATTTAGATGTTTCAGTATAATAAAAATAAAAAGTTTCAATTTCGAAACAAAAAAGTTTTTTTTTTTCTTTTCTTTTTTTAATTTTTATTACATCCGATTGATTATACAGGATCAAGCATATATCATTTCCTATTTTACAATTATAACCTTCCGAGTTACCGATACTATTTATACAAATGCAGATATATATAGAAAGTCCAGATGTTATCTTTTAGATCTGTTCTGTTTATATAACCGAATGTTGGTGACCAAATCTCGACAAATCAGAAAAGACACTGAAACCGGCTCATTAAAAATCAGGAACTATAAATATATATCATTAAGTAAATGACATCAATTTTAGTTAATTTTCCATAATTTTCGAGCAATGTTTGATAGGTTATAAAAATTAATTTAGCTCCTCAAACTTCTACCAATTTTTTTTTTTTTAATATACTTTAAAACAATGCCACCCAATCCTCCAGAAGAGTTTTCACCTGTGACCGTTACTAGCGTGTATGCACCTGGATTAGAAGCTACAACACCTCAAGTTTATCCTACACCCAAATTTACCTCAAAAAGACGAGCAACTAATCCGTATAACTCTCTTTCGTTTCAAACATCTAATATTAACATGAGCAACACAAGGACTACAACGGCAACTACAAATGGAGTTGTGGGAAATGGTCCTCGGATAGATACAGAGTTTGTAAAAAACGGATACAGCAGTGGTCAACAAGCAAAACAACAAGGACCAACACGAAAAAGATCGTTTTCAAAAGAAAGTTATACATTACCTTCAGCGGCACCAAATATACATCCAACACCATATATTGATAGTTTAAAAACTTCCCGATTTATTGGGATGCAAAGTTTAGATTTTGGAGCACAATACAAGTCCAACAGTCTTTTAGGGAAATTACGTCAACAGTATAAAGAGGTAGAAAAGGAAAAGGTTAATCCTATTATTAATAATATGATGAATTCGGCGAAACCATATTTATCCGAGAAATTAACATCGCCTTCAGTCAATAAGGAATTTTCACTTGTAAACTTTAAAAGATCCATATTTAATTCATTAAAATACGATACATTGAAATTTATAGTATATTGTTTATTGTGGTATGCCTCATCGGCTATTACCAATAATTCTGGTAAACAATTATTAAATCAATTTAATTACCCAGTTACTCTCACTTGGGTACAATTTGGCTTTGTTGGATTTTATTGTTACGCTTTTGGACAAGGAATGGGTTTAACTAGAATTCGAAGTCCAAGTGTAGGAATTATACGTAGAACTTTACCGTTATGCTTGTTTCAAATAGGGAGCCATGTTCTTTCAAGTATTGCCACGGCTCTAGTTCCCGTCAGCTTCGTCCACACTATCAAGGTAAGAATTTAAGGAGAGTGCAAATGGAAAAGAAAGCGAAGCGAGTAGCAATCCTTTTTTTTTAAAAAAAAAAACCTTCCTACCTTTTTTAGGCATTATCTCCGTTGTTTACAGTGTTCTTTTACAAATTCGGATTTGGAGTAAATTATTCATATCCGGTATATGTATCATTAATACCACTTACAATTGGAGTTATGCTCGCGTGCGCTTCTTCTTCGGCATCAAGTTTTATTGGATTCTTATTCGCGTTAACATCTACTGTAATTTTTGTTGCACAAAATATTTTCTCAAAGAAAATTCTTTTTAATGAAAAACATCCCGGATTTGAAACACATAAATTGGATAAATTGAACGTTTTGTTTTACTCAAGTTTATCGGCATTTAGTCTAATGACACCAATGTGGTTATATTATGATGGTTTTCATTTAATATTAGAGTACTTTAATTCATCTGTAACCAATACTACAAGTGGATGGACAATAATATATTATTTTTGGCTAAATGGTACAACTCATTTTGCTCAAGCAATTTTAGCGTTATCAATTTTATCGATGACTTCCCCGGTAACTTATTCAATCGCGTCATTAGTAAAAAGAATCTTCGTTATAACCGCAAGTATATTATGGTTTGGACAAAAGACTACTTTTATCCAAGGTATTGGTATAACATTAACTTTTGTCGGTCTTTATATGTATAATCAAGCTAAATTAGATGTTGATAAAAAAGAAAGGAAAGCAAGAGAGAGAGATGAAATTGTTTTACCTTTAACAAGGTCTGTGAGTGAATTAGATTTAACCGTGAAAAAGCATATAATGTAATTAATCTAGCATTTTATAATTATTAATGATAATGTAATTAATTGATTGATCTTAATACTTTACAAAAATTTGACATTTTATAATTTAAAAAAGAATGAAAAGAATATATTTTTATGGAATAATTATAATTTTTTTTTTTTTTTTGTAATTTTTTTAATTTAGACCAAAAAAAAAAAAAAAAAAAAGAATTTTGGGACAGTAAATAAAAACAATGATTAAAACAATGAAAATATTAATAAATTAAAAAAGCAAATTGTTTCAATGCAACAGAAGATTGTACAAAATTTATTTTAAATCTCGATTAGGTAAGATTTTGATCAGTTGATCGACTAGACTATATGTATTGGGTGGATCGTAGCTGATACTCTCATTGCTCCAATGGCTCCTTCAAAAATACAAGGTGATGATTCAGAGCGTGGTAATGGTATTGATGGTGTTTCAAGTACGCCAGGTGGTCTTAATATCTCCACTGTAAAGGCTACCGCTGCTGTTAGTGTAAACAAAACAGAGAGTCATATAACCTCGTTTTCTGCCGCTGGGGATCATTTTTCAGGTATCTTATTTCCAGACATAGAAACGTTCCGAGATCGGTTATGGATGTTGTTAATTAGTGATTTCCGCGCTTGCTACTATTTGCCTTATATGTAATACAAGATTGACATTCTTATTCGAATAATAGGAATGACGATTCATCAAGCAGCACAACAAGGGAATTTACATATTATTAAAAGTTTAATTGAAAATGGATATGCTAAGGCTACAGATAGGGATTCACAAAATGTAACAGCTTTACATTGGGCTGCTATCAATAACCAAGTAGTTGTAGCAAAATATTTGATCGAAAATGGAGCTGAAATCGATGCGTTTGGTGGTGATCTAGTTGCTACTCCTTTACATTGGGCGACAAGGTTCGTTTAACGTTTAACGTTGAAGTCATTATTTTGAGTGTTTTTTTTTTTTTTTTTACTGATCTGTTAGAAGGATTTAGAATAATTATGCGGAATTAGTGAATATTTACTTGCAAAATAAATATTTTAGAAATGGGCACCTTCCGATTGTAACCTTGTTGATTAATCATGGAGCTGATCCAAACTTACGAGATTCTCAGGGATTTAACGGGCTTCACCTTGCAACTCATTCCTCTAATACTATGCTAGTTTTATACCTAATATACCAAGATATGGACATTGATACACCTGATACGCTCCAACACACTCCTTTGATGTGGGCTGCATATCAAGGAGATCCTTTGACACTAGATTTATTTATTAGACTTGGTGCTTCAATCTCAAAGGTTGATACTGCACGTTTTACTCCTTTACATTGGGCTGTTACCAAAGGAAATCAAATGTGTTTGAGAAAATTAATAGAAGCCGGCGCCGATATAAATGCAAAAGAAGATAATGGAAAATCTCCTGTGGACCTTGCTCGAGAAATGGGCGCCGAAAAAGTTTGGAATAGAGCTTTAAGTGAATCTGGAAGGACAAAGTCAGGGGATAGAAAGATATACTTATTTGGTCAAGTGAGTCATAATTTCCATTTTTATATATTGTATTATCAAATTCTAATATATATATCTCTTTCTTATTTTTCTTCTTTTGGAACAGCGAACAACACACACGATCATATATCTCATTCCATTCCTAGTTCTTTTTTTTGCGTTTCAAATATTAACCCAATATCCGTGGTTCATTGGGTTACCTCTAGCAATTGGACAATTTATCGGGTTTCATATATTAATTGTAAAGGTTCTCATAACAGCACATGTACCGGATGCAATGATGAGAACTCCGTATTTTACGAGTTTATTTCAAGCAAGTGCTTTTTGGGTTGGTGTGACGTGGCTTTTTAAAATTTTACTTGGTATATAATATATATATATATTTTTTTATTTGTGTTTAATTTAATTAAATTAAATTTCTTTAAAAATACTAATATGTATTTTTATTTATTTCTTTTCTTTTTTTTTAAAAAAAAATTAGCTACTTCTTATCTTCCGGTGGCAAATATAATATTTATTACTTCTTATTTCAT